GCACTCATATTCTTCAATATAGTCTTCATTTTAGAGTGTAATGAACCCCCTAGATGCAACAAGGACACATATGTCCCTCCTCTTCAACCCTCACTTTGAAGTGGAACAAAATTCAAAATACATCACGCAAACTAATACACTTGGCAGTTTTGAATTCACACTTCTGTTTATCATTTGCTTGTCATTTTAGGCAAAGCTAAATTACTGAAAGTGACTTCTGAAAATTAGGTACATTTTAAATCTAGCCAAATCACAATTCAGGGCGTTATTTACTCTGTGTTTGGAAATCTAAATATTGGATATTTACTCGAATAATTAAAGTAGAAAAATAGCATATTAGTGACCACGGGTATTATAATTCTGGAACGTGGCTAATCGTTTTGAATGTTTTTGAAAATACGCATACACGAACGCCGAAGTGTACGTTCCGCCATATTGGATTGTGTTTACAAAATGTCGGTTATGAGACGCCTATTCGATCAGGTATTTTTCAAACTCAGATGCTATACATGCATCCCTGAATTCCTCATATATTTTAGAAACTAATGACAAATGTGTCACCAATGCAAATTATCTAGATGAAATCATGTGAAATAAATGAGGCGTGGAAACGAACACTGTGCTCGGAAAACTGTACTTGCTGAAATGTAAACAAAGCAAAATATTCAGATTTTACACTGTGTTGCATGTTTAGAGGTATTTTCGTCTAATTGTTGCATACAGTGGCTCGATCACGCGTTTGAGAATATTCATGGGAAGAGTATCGTTGCACTGTTAATTGTATTCCAACTATATACATTACAATGGTGTGGTAAATTCAATAGAAACCGGAAGGTTTCCGTCCTGTGTGACGCCGTGACTGACGCTAAATCACGCACAACGACGACGGTAGTTATATGCATTTCTGACAAATTCACTTTGCTACATTTGAAAAAATGGTAAACAAATAACAGTACGCAGATTGTCAGAATCTTTCTTATTACTTACGTGACACATTTATGTATATACGATCCCTCAATCAACGAATATCCTCCTCTGGAAATCCCGCGTACTGGTGTCAGTGAACACGCCATTTTGCAAAAGTCGGTCACCGGTACTGATGTCATATGGAAGTAAAAATTGCTTTGAACTTTTAACTCGGCATCCAGCATGTTCTTTGTTTTTGTCTTGATTGCAATATATTCATCAACTTGATAATCCACAGACATGGCGGAAATCATTTTGTGTAAGATCACATTATTAGTGAGTAGTAAGCAGTACATGGGACGACGTCACTTATGACAATGGTGTTATGTATTAATGCGCCACTGCGATCAGGAGAATATACAAAAAGCATCGATCCCATGCTAAACAGGTGCGAGTTTAGATGAAAGAAACAGATTACTTTACTCGTGTCTGTGAATCAATCAATCTTTATTGTATGAAAGGCCATTGGCCCATATACACATACAGATAAACAATATAAGTTACAGCTGTACAGCGCATTATATAATTATTGGATAACTAATACGATGCTTGACATGTAATAGAGGTATTGTAATAATACAATTTCGCTTGTTAGATACGTTTTGAAACAACTCGTTGTAAGATCAATGGTATCTGATAGACACTCGTGTAGTGATCTGTATTTGTCTGTATATCGTCCTACAAGTACACTGAACATTCACCTGAAATACAGTTCATTGAATGGAACTACATTTGCATCTCTTTTGTGACTCAGTACATGAACGCCAATGAAAAGCAAAATATATGTGGACATGAATTGAATGGACCAGTAATGAGTGAGTGAGTATGGTTTTATGCCGCTTTTAGCAATATTCCAGTAATATCATGGCGGGGGACACCAGAAATGGGCTCCACACATTGTACCCATGTCGGGAATCGAACCCGGGTCTTCGGCGTGACGAGCGAACGCTTTAACCACTAGGCTACCCGACCGCCCCGGACCAGTAATGACACCAGGTGTTGGCAAAAAGGCTAATGATGTCCTGCAGTGTCAAAGTGGGAATGAGTTTTAGTTCTCTCAGGACCAATAGGCAGAGGTGACAATGAAAAATCAATTCATTTTCTTAACATGAGCAAATTCGTTTGTATGGATAGCATATCATCAGTGTTTAATGAATCAAACTTATTCAGAAAAAGTTTTAATGTTGAATTAGACAATTAGGTCTACAGTGATAGATGACATGGAGGAATGATTATCCCGTTGCATTGAGAAAGGATGTTTATGATCATATAATTACAGTGGACTCTCTAGATATTTAGTAAATTACATTGGGTTTAATCTATCCTTGAATCAAGGATACATTACATGACATAATAAATGAGTGTCAGGCAGATTTGCGAAAATGAAGGTTAAACAGATGATATTATGTTTGTCTTCCGCTCTTTGTTTTGAGAATAACCAAGAATACCACACATTGAGCATTGGTTTTATATATTTTCGTTAAGGTAGAATTAAGCTTAGCTATATTTTGTAGGAATTACTGACGAATACTGCACATGTTAAACTGTTCCTAATTCTACAAGTAAAACAAGTTTGGAAATAAATAACGTCAACAACAGAGAATTATAATAGTGTCCATTATCCTCTGAAACAGATTACATTGGTCGTATAAGCCAAACCAGCCGGTATATACACAATAGCAGATTGTGTGATGGTATTTGCGGCCTATTTTTGCACTCTGCAACATTCCAGCTCTCTGACGACGGCCTGTAAATAATCGAGCTACAAACCAGTTATTGATATTGTGAACAACAATCCACGCCGTCGGAGTACGATTTAACGTAATTAACCAATTCACCGAGTCTGACCTCTCAATCCATTCAGTCTCCTCTTACAACCACCATGGATTGATGGACATTTTTGTTTAAACCCAGTGTCCCCACGGATAATAAATTAGATAGTTCAAGAAAGTATTGATTGTGGACTGATAAAAGTTTTATTACAGATGGAATAGATGATATCATCCTACTCTGGTTTGCATACTACCGTAAACTACATATAAAACGAACACGCTTATAAAGAACTGACCGATATTACGAACTTATCTTTAGTCCCGGCCATTTGTTGTAAATATGCTTTATATATCCTTACAACGAACTGAGGTTATTACGAACCACAATTAGCGGTCCCTTTGAGTTCGTTATAACCGTAGTATGTAACATTCACGGTGTTTGAAAGCAAGATAAATACAAAAACTGACAAGTGGTTGGGTTAGGTTGCACATATATTTTCTTCAAAAAGACACCATTGTGTAGAAAATAATCACAATAATTCCCCCTCGAAACCGTCTTTGTGTGATATTGCATCAAATGTAAATATGAAACGTAGATTATGTAATGAATTTAATGAGATTGTTCAACACATTGTCAGTGGATGCCCAGCTTGGCACAAACACAGTATCTTAAACGACATGATTGAGTGGTACGACCCAGAATATGTAGAGGGCGTCATGGAAAATGATGACTACAAAATCCTTTGAAATAGGCCCGCATACAGCCCAAGACGTATCCAGGCCAACAAACGTGAACAATCATTGATGTCACTGAATTTTTCTGTCACTTTTGACACTAATGTGATTGACAACATTCAGGAAAAAACATGGCTAATATGCAGACCTTGCTTTCGAAATGTCACGCTTGCATCCCAAGTACCAAGTTGTCGGACTCCCCATTGTTCTCAGTGCCTTAGGTTTGTAGCCTGTTGACTGACATTGGGAGAGTACCCGGGTTTGCTACCAGAAATAAAGCCCTTCTGACAATCTTAGTGATGCAGAAGGCTGCAGGGGACAAGGGCCCTGAGCTGATGATGAGTCTAACAAGCTTGGCTGTGTCCGGATCACCCAAACCCTCTTTGCTGCATTGTTTATTTTAATCTGTACATAATAATGATATTATTAATAATACTGATAATAATAACAGGCTTTTTATATTGTGCATAATTCCACACCGCACTGGTCAATGGATCAACGTGCACTAAAGAATCTTTCTCAGCTTCCTGGTGAGTAAACAAACCGAGATGCCTGTGTACCTGGTACCCATTTACTACTGGGTCAACACAGGCAGATTTCAAACAAAGACACTTGCCCAAAGAAGCGCCACGTGTGTTACATGTGCTTCAGTGTGGGATTCGAAACTCGAGAAATTCTCGGGAACCAAATTGCCGAAAGGTTGACTCTCCATGACCAACGTTGCTTGACTTCACAAATTTGTGTTTCCAGTTCTTCTGTTCTAGGCTCAGTAGGTAGACAATTTTCATGTGGTTATTCGTTTTTTCGACGTATAAATCGTTGGTGCGGACTTTTGTACATGCACGGACACATCTGTATTTTTTAAAATGCAACGCTGTGGTTATTTGGTGAAAACGAACGCATGGGTATCTCTACGACCCAACAGCTTATAACAAGGGTAGAGTGTAGAGTAGTGAGTTTTGCTGATTCCCTGCTTGTTACAATTTTTATTATTAAATGGATTAACCCAAACAAAGAACCAAGCTAAATGAAAAAAATCATATTTTAGTCATTAGGCACATTGACTGGAATCATTGTTTCTGAGTAAGCACTTCCTTATCCACATACTGTAGACGTTACAATGACCAACTTGATATAGTATCACAAAGTGTATAGTACAACGATCAAATGTACATCACAGGTAAAACTCTGCTTGATAAACATTTGCTTCCTCAAGGAATGATGACATACTGAAAGAACAAGGTGAACATTTATTTTTTACGGAAAATATGTAGAATGAAGCTTAACATTTAGCAATAGGATGGCATGTTGAGACGTATGAAGAGTTATTGTTCATAAAATCGTATGGTACTTCACCCCATGCTTGTAGAGATGACTTCATTTTTAGGGCTTAGTTGTAAATGTTACTAATGGAAACATACATACATACATGGGCAAATACAAACGAACACCAGCTATCATTACCAGCATCACCTGCTGTTCTTATCATCTTTCCTATGCTGATTTACCATTTTTCTTATTGGTCAGGTGCTGGAACAAACGTTGCTCAGAACAAACCCGCATGGATGAGCACACGCTTCTACTTGAGTCCTCCCGCCAGTGCAGCTGTCGATGGAGTAACACTTGCAGGCAATATTGGATACTCAGTCATCACCCAGCTGCTTAAACAAAGCGCCTGGTGGAAGGTGGATCTACAAACACAAGTACAGTCAGCACTGGTTACCCTGTACTTCAGAACAGACTGTACGTATAGATTCATTTTCGCATTTGATATTAATTTAGTAAACACAATCCTTCGTTCCTGGAACGCCATGAATGTACCTATCATTATATTAGAAACCTGACCACAATGAAATCGCAGTCTCTTTCTGGATATGTGTATTGAAATTCAAAATTGGGCGATTATTTCGATTTTAATGACTATTGATATACCATCAGCTCAAGCTTATGTTTACGTTTTTGTGACAGAAAAGTGTGTTAGGGAACACTGTAAGGATGATGTGGATAATAGTAAGGAACGAGGGAAGAATAAGTATGGCCAGTGATGACACAACAGTGAGTCAGCTTTTGAATCAGTACTGAAAAAATGTAGCCAGTGAAAGTGTCTTGTATGAATGTTCCAGGACAGTTTCCAGTAGCCAAAATATTCGACACAAAACCATTTCATCCTTTTTACTCGACGTATTTGTGTGAAGAATATTATGAGCCGCTATATAATCTATAATAGCCGCTAAACGAGCACCTAACCCTTATGATTGTAAAGGGGTGATCGATCGTAAAGGGGATCCAAGGGCTAAGGATAGAGTTCGGGAAATCTATATGCCACTAAACAGGTACCTAACCCTAATGATTGTTAAGGGGTGCTTGATCGTAAAGGGTGAGTGAGTGAGTGAGTCGGGTTTAACGCCGCTTTTAACAGTATTCCAGTTAATCACGGCATGTCAGCTTAATGTGTGAGGGAAGCCCGAAGTGATGCAGGTCTCAGACCTTTACCACTTCGGTGAAACCCACGAGCACGGGTATGGTGCTGACAAACCTAGAAACATAATCGGGGCGAACCGGGATTCGAACCCACAATCATAGGTTTCTGGTGTGTCCAAGGGACGCAACTCTGCACAGCGAATCGCGGCGCCTAAGACGACTGGGCCTACCGTGCCCCCTGATCGTAAAGGGGATCCGAAGGCTAAGGACAGAGTTCTGGGTAACCTGCCCTAACACTGGCGACATTTGGATGTGTTCAGCGCCAATATATGATATCTCTAATAAAGTGCATTCGTGTGCAAAATTATGAAAATCAATGAACCGAAAAAATAATATATGTATATCACCATCTATCAATGACCCCTAACGTCACATAGCATTGTTTCGCCTGTGTGACTGGCAACAAAATATAACAAATTAAGTCATAGGGTATTGTCACGTGATTGAAAAGTTTATGGTACTGTATTCTAAAGGAAGGCCCAGAAACCTCGTGTTAATTCTATGATGCCCCCTTAAAATCTCCACGTAGTATTTTATAGATGTTTACTTAACTTGATTATTGCTCTGACGCTTCTTTCAGTATTAATGCTATGCTTGGATGATTCAGGTTTATACAAAAGTTATAGTCCACCACGCGGTAGTATAAGTGCCCACGTACAACTATGTTTTCCAAATTGCATAATTAGTAATTAGTAATTCCTTTGTTTTGTTTTGTTGTAGCCTTTTACCAAATCCATCCATGCACACAGAAGTGCGGAGAAGTAATTAATTTTTAAACCTTGAATCTCAATTTTGTCAAACACTTTATAAGACTGTGCCTTAGTGTTGGATCGGTAAACTGATGGCTACTAGAACCTACATCACGTTTGGGGAAGACAGTACAGTTTCATTAATGAGTATGTCCTACATTAAGTAAAGTACATATTTATACTTGTTTCAGACAAGTCAAGACGTAATGGCGTGCAGCTCTACACATCTATGACAAATTCCTCTGATCCCAAAGAAGGAAATCTATGTCACAGTGTAACAGGACGTGCTGACGGTACAGACATACCTGATGTGCTGAGTGTCACCTGTCCCGGGACCTGGCGCTACCTGACTGTCTACACAGAGACTGATAATAATGGATATGGTGCTATGTTAGACTTTGTTGAAGTACAGGTGTGGAGTAAGTATCCTGTTGGGCGTGAATTAGTAAATATATTCAAGAAGCTTCTTTTTTTAAAAATACCAAGTAATAATATTGTGTCATTTTACAGTAAAATACAACTTTATATATTTTACAAACTGATATTACGTAGCCAACTTTTCAGTTTTTTCTTCGTCAGTGAGTATATTTTTGTTGTTTATTATGTGTGAACTAGTTGGGAAGGATTCACCAACCACATCCCACTCGTCGCTTTGGAGAACTGTGTTCAATTACCTTATGTTCCCAAACCCCCAAGATAGTTGTATCGAGTCGGACTACCATGTTTCTTCTGGTAATTTGATATGATGATGATTTTTCAGCGTACTTATATTTCTAATCTATATTAGTGATTTTCCTAAAAACGTAATGAAATTTCGCACCAACTCAGCGTTATTTACAGCGCGGGAGCCTCAACAGTGACTGGTCAAATTGTTCCATACTTAAATATTACTGACAATAGGTTATTGGTATTGTAAATGTATATAGTTAAGCTGCAACTACAATGACATGATACTGGAACATATAATTCTGGATAAAATAACAGTTTCAGAGAGAATTCTTGGGATCATTGCATCATATTTTTTAAAAACATTATATTTGGGTATTTTCTAAGCGAATCATCGGTAGCTCGGGAGAAAACGCGTGTACAGCTGATAGCATTGTTATAGCACACTTGGTTTATGAGAAAATATCTGCAAGTAAAACAATATGTAGCAGATTAGGAAAGACAACATAAATGGAAAGTCATCACGTACAGTTAATTCAAATTTTCATTGACCACGTTTGTTATCACCTGAAGGGAAACATGTAGTTGTTTCTGCCAATAATACTTGAACATTTGTACGTATTTACTCATGGTGTCTGTAAAGGTATGTTTATTTATTCGATAGTACCTAAGACTCTATATATATTGCATTTGCATGGGGAACCGATGTGTACTGGTGTAGTGGTATATTGATCCAAGCCTAGTTGTGGTAACTACATAGTTTGTTTTTGGAGCATGTGCAACACTTTACTCATGTGATCTTTTTCACATTTTGACCGACCGCCATGTTGCATAACATGTTACAAACCTCAGGGATGAGTAAATAAAAGGCTTTTGAACCAGATATTGGACACAATGTCCATAATGATGACAGTTGGTCCTGTGCATCACATTAATAAACAATTATTATTACACGTACACTTTACTTAATAGTGGCATTAATAGATGACTGATAAATAGTCCAGCATGCCACTCTGGATGTTATTAACAAAACTATAACCAATGATGCAAAAACCGCCACTGCAGGAAGAGATCCAGGTAACTACATAGATAACAGTATGACGTTCCTATTTACTAGCATGCTCTTCTGGGTATTATGGATCAAACTGTGACCAATCCTGTGCTGCACGTCACTGCAAGTCGGACTCCAGCTGTGACGTCATAGGAGGACTGTGTGTTGGTGGATGTGCGGCTGGATATCAGGGAACAGACTGTGCTCAAGGTAATGTTTATTCAAATTAGATGTAATTGACGTACTGAATAAAGGCATGTGTTTTTAATTGATTCATCGCCGTGAAAATGAAGTCACGTGAATGCTGCGTGAACTGCGTCGTGCGTTTCATGCTGTAATCCTCCAGAAGTCGGTGTATTGCAGATAAACTCTCCAATAGTCAACAACTAATGCTCACCCTCCAAATCAACTAATGTTCACCCTCCAATAGTTTTATACTCCATAAGCCGATCACGTTAGTCGAACCGTGTTTGTGATCTTTGATAGACAAAACATAGAAACGCACCCTCTCAATCAGTTAAGGAACTACACTCACCATTGGTTTGCATATACCAGTCGACGTTCGAACGTTACCCTGCAACACATAACCACAGTGGCTTTGCAGGCTTTTCTTCTGCCATGGGGGTCACTGGTGGCCCAGTCGTCTATGACGCTGCGATTCGCTGTGCAGAATTGCGTCCCTTGGGTACGCCAGAAACCTATGATGGTGGGTTTGAATCACGGTTCGCCCCGATATTGTTTCTGGGATTGTCAGCACCATACCCGTGCTCGTGGGTTTCACAGAAGTGGTAAAGGTCTGAGACATGCATCACTTCGGGCTTTCCTCCCACATTAAGCTGACACGCCGTGATATAACTGGAATAATCTTAAAAGCGGCATTAAACCCAACTCACTCACTCACTTACTCTTCTTCAATGAACATGCCGCCGTGATATAACTGAAATTCTGTTTGCACAAAAGGAGCTTAACACCAAATACACCAACCGCTCTGTATTTGTGTTAACACAATAAAACAACCATGATTTCTGTCCTCTGAGGTAAATGAAACGGAGACACATTAGAAATTAAATGAATTAAAGAAAGACAACAACAAAGTTGCCCTATCTTTTCCGCGCTCTTATTAGACGAGGACTCCAATAGTTTTGCTCGAACTTTAGCGCGTTCATGCGCGCAGTTCTTGACGGCCTCGAACTCGCCCCACGTGAAAAAATAATCGTGAATTTTCGGACCATATCCTACACATATGTATGAATGTGTATAAAACAAACTAAAATTATCGTCAAGATATAGTCTTCATTACGCACTTTCGTACTCAGATATGCGGATTAGAAAAGAAATACATATTATTGTTTAACGTCGCACTCAGCAATATTCCAGCTATATTACGGCGATCAGTAAAGAAACCTGACTGTACCAGAGAATCCAGTTATTGTTATCACGAGCACTGAACTACACAATCGGGATGTGATGACATGCATTAACAGCGACCCGACCCCGTCAGTCGCCTCTTACGACAACAATAGTCGCCTTAACATATTGTAACACATCATACATACTTTTTTACTAAACTCCTAAGGATTATTTTCGAAAATGTATATTAATTGCCGATGTCACTCGGTTCTGTCACGCGTCAGCATTGGTTGGTCTCAGCTGGCAACAAATGTTTTTCGTAAAATAATTGAAGTAATTAACATCAGTGTAAAAATGAACCATAACATAGGTCTGAAATGTAGGTTCAAGGTAATATCGCCATGAATAACTGACACTTAAATGTCCGATCGTAAAATGTTTGGGGTCGTTATGGCAATAGAGTCCCAGGATCTTTCGAAATGACAAAAGAATAAAACGCAATGAATGTTTGTGCGAAGCCGTATATTTGATATCGAGTATTGATAGCATTTGCGAAAGGTTAAACCCCTATTTTAAATGAGTGGTCAGATGAAAAACGTTCGGAGTTCTGGTGTGTAGGTGACACTTGTCAGAAAATTACAAGTTTCCATATGGCGCAAATCACAAACTAACGGTGAAAAATAAATGAAGCCCCAAATGGATCAGTTCAGAGTCCCACATACTGGCAGTATGTGTTCAATATAATTATTAATGTCTAAATAATAAAACCGCTTCATGGCTGAACTATTAACGAGGCTGTATTACAGTTGTCGTCAATTACTATTGTAAGAATGACATGACCAATTGTTCAGGTGTCAAAGTATAAATGCTGTTGAGAACATATTCTGCGTATAAATGCAGTCTTACTCCAACCATATCAATTCCCAAATCATAGAAGTTAATCACGAAGCCAGTCGTTTCTTTATTTACACGAAGAGAGTTCTACACTTGATAAATGCAATATCAATTCCCAAATCATAGAAGTTAATCACGAAGCCAGTCGTTTCTTTATTTACACGAAGAGAGTTCTACACTTGATAAATGCAATAAATGCTAAAATGTATTTAAACTCTAGTTGAACTCATGATAAGGGTCTGTGGAGTATGTCACCCCATTGTCATGTTTCATCAGTGCATCTCATGAAATATATAGCTTTCGAAACTATAAAGAATGAAACGAAGTTAACACATTGCTCATCATCCCATTTAGCTTGTGATCCTGGGAGATATGGAGAAGGATGTAGCAAGTCCTGCGGGGGGCGTCGCTGTAAGACACAATCTGACACATGTGATCACGTGACTGGCATGTGTCCCGATGGCTGTGAAAGTGGTTTCTTCGGAAATGACTGTTTCGAAAGTAGGCATATTACTTCATGTGTTTCTTAACGCATTTCATTAATGTTTCATATTAGTAACACATTCCCGTGGATGCTCAAAATACATTGTACCATTAATATATTAAAAAATGCTGTTACATGGAGAGGACAAAAAAGCGACAAGACCATTTCCATAATCATACGAAATTTTAGCTAAAGGTTGAGTCCATGAAGAAACTTCACTATTTGAAATTGTCTAGGATACAATTACATGCTATCATGGTTTTAAAGCAGCTATCCCCGCATAATGCACACAGTGCTTGTACAAAATTTGATAAATATTTCATTATTGTGCCATCATGTTTTGAAAGTGAGTATTTAATGTTCTGGAGTCTACGCTTGCACTTAAATGTTGCTGGATATTCAAGCAAACGGATAAGTACATAAATAATAACCCATCTCTATAATCGCATCTTTATAGAGGAATACCTATGTGACTTAAAGTTCACAAAAGATTGAGGATTGTAGTGCATGCATATTTTCTTTTATCTTTAGACGACATGACATGATGTTTGAATCACCGTGTACTTTGCTTCTGAAGTGCCACAGAAATCCTATGGTATCCACAGTGTTGTAGGTTGAGATGTGACTGATGTGTGATGTGTTTTTCAATACAGAGTGCCCCAATGGAATGTATGGCATCAACTGTAACAAAACCTGTGGCCATTGTGCTTACAACAACACTTGTCATCATGTTACTGGAAGTTGTCCAGATGGATGTCAAGCAGGGTGGAAACTTGACCTGTGCCAGAAAGGTGAATGGAACCATCCAGAAAAAGTAGATGGTTGTATTCTTAAAAGCGGTATTGTCCTTTTGTTAATGGAAGCAAAATAGGAATGACTGTTGTATCGCAAACTACCTCAAACAAAACTTTAAAGTGTGAGATCAAGATACAAGGTATAGTGTATCTATAAATTAGGTTGTGGCAATGGGAAATTCGGGTTGAAGTGTGAAAGAGACTGCGGCCACTGTAACGGAACCTGCGATGCTGTTGATGGACGATGTCTCTGGGGATGTACTGAGGGATACAATGGTTCTCACTGCTCGATGAAGCTTAGTAAGTTACCTCATGAAGCTCATAAGATATGGCTTGAACACCAGGGATCGGCTGCTGGTTATAAGCACATATATATAAGGAATATCACGATGAAATGTTTGCGACAAACTTTACATACAGGAATTACAACCGAAAATGAATTACAGCCTGCGCTTTTATTACCCTTCATCTTACTGAGCAATAGTACCTCTACTCTACCACTACTACTGTCACACCATTGCATATATGCGTATTATTCGTGCGGTTTATGGACATTATTTCAATGCTAGAACATCTGAATAATAACTATGGTGGTCATCCGTTGTAATCGCCATTGCGCAATTATTTAGGTCAGACGTTACGTCATGCTAAATTACTTTAAAATCATGGTTGTCGCGTGGCACTGGACCACAACAAGCCACACAACAAACCTTCCTTCATGTTTTAAGTAATGGACTTCCTGAAGTGGCCACTTGACAACTAGTGTCCTGCTGACAAAATAGCAGAACTCTCTGATATTGCTATGTAGGTATATGCAAGCAGTTTGATGAGGCATTTAGGATGTTCCAGAACAAACAGTATTTACCTAAACTGTGTAATAAATTACCAACCCCTACCCTCCCACACACCTAATATCTAATGGCACTAGTTCAGTATGCACTTTATATATAGACATGCAATGTTTAGCAAGGAAATATTTAACAGTTTATTTGTTATACTCCTTAAGAAAACCAATCCTTTATTAAAACTTAAATCAAACTTGTTGTCATGGAAACATAAAAAATAAAAAATTCTAAAAGTGCTTTATATCAAAAGGCACAGGTTCAGTATGTGCCTGGTAGACATGCACAGTTTTGTAAGAAAGTATTTAACGGTTTTTGAGTTACGCTCTGTAAACTAACACCACCCCTGTAGAACCTAAGTCCAACTTATTGCCATTGAAACCTGAAAATAAAATTTTCTAAAATTCCTAAATAGCAAGAGGCACCAGGCCAGTATGTGTCTGGTAAACATCCAAAGTTTTTGTTGGAAAGTATTTAATGGTTTTTGAGTTAGGCTCCGGAAACGAACACCACCTTTATAGAACCTAAGTCCAACTTGTTGCCACGGAAACGTAAAAAATAAACATTTATAAAATTCCTAAATAGCACAATCCACCAGTTCAGCATGAGTATGATAGACATGCAAAGTTTCGTTGAGAAATATTTAACGGTTTCTGAGTTACGGAAACGACTTCGGGACGCACACACGCACACACACACGCACACACACACACACACACACACACACACACACACGGACGGAACCCATTTCTATATCCCCCGCCATCTTCATTGGGGCGGGGGATAATAAAAATCTTAGAGAGGAAAGGCTCCAGTTTATCCCCATTTGCAAGCGTTGCAGCGGTTTGCACTGTGGTGTAAGCTTCAAGTCAATACAAGATTATTCAATTGCAGCTGGCACCAGGGTATTTCGCAGGTGCATCTGAGCAGCGATCCCAAATTTAATGCACAAGGCTTTTAATTGTCATCAGCAACATATGCTGATAAACATTTATAAACCTTGTTGCACAAGTTTCTCGTATTGTCAGTTTAACATAAGAACAATGTTACTTCTAATCTCGTCTTGCTTTGTAATGGTAATATTGGCACAAGTGATAATTGCATGTTGTAACTGAACCTTAACTATATCATATTATACTATATATTCCATATATCCACCATATAACTAAATTGGTATTCATTTACTAATGGTGTTTGCAAAGTTATGTTTATTAAATCGAAACTTCTTTTTTTTAATGGCATCAAGAACCTATGTGATAGATTGATCCAGGCCCAGTTGTGGTAACCAAACAGTTTGTTATTAGAACATGTGCCACACTTTACACATGTGACTTTTGTCACATGTTGACCTACCACCATGTTTCATAATGTGTTACAAACCTCAGGGATGAGTAAATAAAACACTTTTTAATCAAATATTGGACACAATGTCCATAATGGTTACTGTTGGCCCTATAACTATAACCAATAATGCAATAACCGTCACTGCAGGAAGAGATCCAGGTAACTACATAGATAACAGTATGACGTTCCTATTCACTAGCATGCTCTTCTGGGTATTATGGACTGAACTGTGACCAATCCTGTGCTGCACGCAATTGCAAGTCGGACTCCAGCTGTGACGTCATAGGAGGACTGTGTGTTGGTGGATGTGCGGCTGGATATCAGGGAACAGACTGTACTCAAGGTAATGTTTATTCAAATTGGATGTAATTGACCTTATGAATAATGACATGTGTTTTTAATTGACACTGCAGGAAGAGATCCAGGTGATTGTGTATATAACAATATGACGTTCCTATTTACTAGCATGCTCTTCTGGGTATTATGGATCAAACTGTGACCAATCCTGTGCTGCACATCACTGCAAGTCGGACTCAAGCTGTGACGTCATTGGAGGATTGTGTGTTGGTGGATGTGCGGCTGGATATCAGGGAACAGAGTGTACTCAACGTAATGTTTATTCAAATTAGATTTAATTGATTTAATAAATAATCTGTGTTAATAGTTAATTCATTTTGTGTCGCTCTCTGCCATCATTTATGGTGTATATGTGTGAATGCCTATGTAATAAACTAAACTTGCCGTCAATATATTGTGTACATTATGTCACTTTCTTACTCAGATATGCGGATTAATTTTTTTTATAGCAATATTTCATCTATATCACGGTGCTTAGTAAATCATACCAGACAATCCAGTGATTAAGATCAAGAGCACCGATATAAGCAATGGGGATGTGATGACATGCATCATTAGCGAGTCTGACGACCCGATCCTATTAGTCACCTCTATCGTAACATGTCATAACACATCATACATAATATTTGTCTCAGCTCATACAGATTATTTTTGAAAATGTGTATCAATTGCCCAAGTCACTTGGTTCTGTCACGTGTCAGCCGTGGTTGAGCCCGGGTGGCAACAAATGTCATTAATTTCAGTGTACAAAACAAAAATATGGTAGCTCTCTGTACATGAATTGAAACGTTGGTTCAATATAATGTAATGTCCCAGGATTGTTCTAAATGTCAATAAAATGAAATTCGGTGAAAGTTTGTGCACAGTCGAATACTTCACATCGGGAATTGATAACATTTATTAGAGGTTAATGTGAACTAGGTTCCATGAGTGATGCATACGCACTGTTAGACGACCTTCAGCAAAGGTCCGGAGTTCTGATGTGTAGGCATCTTCCCGAGGCAAGTGAGTTAACTGACAATAACAGTTCAGTTACCACCCTTGCCAAACAAGGCTGGTATTATGGAGTTAGAATTTGGCTGGACTAACGAGTCCATGCATATTCCAATCAAAATAGCGCACCGAAATCGAAATCCGGTTCATAAAGTGTCATGCAGATCAGTCGAATGCAGCATTTGCAAGAGCATGTGCACAGCTAACTCGTTGTCAACAGATATTTTCTTAATCTTTTCATGTTTTTAATCAAGGTGCTCACGTGATTTGATGCGCTTCGCGATGTAAGACTTGTTTTATCACAATATAGATCTTGATTATCGATCAGATCGTCTTGACTGGGCGTCACCGTTTTGTTTGAAGCAAATGCAAGTGACACGAGAGGTTGAATCTGATTGGTCAGTAGGAGAGGCATAGAAAGGACACCCGCAATAGCCACTGGTGGCGCTACGATCGAGCCCAGGAATTCCATCCCCTGGACTTTTAAACTCAGTAAACCCCCTTGCCTCGGAAAGATGATGTGTTGATGGCACTTGCTGTAGAATAACAAGTTTTGAATAACGGACGACACAGATTCCATGAGGCGCAAATTCCAAATTAACGGTGATAATTATATGAATGGATCGCTAGAAATCAGCGATGAAACCAGGTGTTTACGCAATGGGTACCCGTAGCAGTTTGGAGTCCCACAGACTGGCAGTATGTCTTCAAAATTGTATTGTCTAAATGATAAAAACTGTTGTATGTGCTATTGATTTCATCTAGTACCAAGTAGTCCAGAAGCCACAGATTGTAGGTCGTAACGAAAAGACCACCAGGCTACTTCACGCTTAAATAACTGATAAAAAGTCCGAAACTACTTACTTGGAAAATTACAAAACAGCCGTGCCATTCCATTCATCACCTAGATAGTAGTGAGTGAGTGAGTATGGTTTTACGCCGCTTTTAGCAATTGTCCAGCAACATCACGGGGGGGACACCAGAAATTGGCTTCACACATTGTATCCATGTCGGGAATCGAACCCGGGTCTTCAGCGCTTTAACCACTAGGCTACCCGACCGTCTCTCCTAGACAGTAGATACCTTGTCTCATATTTTGCATCCCATAACCGGTCATGACACCGCATACATTTGAATATGACAGTCCTATATACCAGCATGCGCCCCTGAGTATTATGGAGCTGACTGTTGCCAACTCTTCGCTAACCGCCATTTCAAAATGGACTCTAGCTGTCATGACAAGATACAAGGGCAGTGTGTCGGTGGATGTGCGGCGGGGTATCAGGGAACAGATAGTCCTGTCACCATGTATTGATGACGTTTGATCTCTGCACATCTATCATCAAACACACGTCCCATGCTATTGTATGTTGTCATGTGCTGATTTCATATTTATTAAAAAAAAATGTTAAATACCGGATTAAAGTGACTTTGTATCTTATCCAGTATCTCCTGTTACAATCGGCGTCATTGGGGGAGCAGTAGGAATTGCTGTAATATTGCTGATTGGTGGGCTGATGATATGTCTGCTGAAGGCTGGAAGGTAACTCCTTCATTACTTAGTTTTGTATGATATTAAATAACAGATTATTGACATTGTTTTCTTTGTTTGTGGAACAAAAATTACAAGCATCTACACGTACAATAGGCATGTATCATACTTCTACCCCAATTCTTTGTTTTAGACTGAAATTGATTCCCACAACTACCACAGACCCTCAAGAGTTGAGAAAGACGGACACGCCCAACACTGGAGAGATGTCTATTCATGTGCCCACTTCCGATGTTAATGGTCAAGACTATACAACATTGAATGAACTCACCAGGGAGGACAAGTCACTGTACGATGTTATTCAGAACGAAAACAATCAAATCTAAGAAAAGATGTACGCATCATTGTCTCGGATAGTGCAACATTTAAATATATATCTTTAGGATTACTTCATTGGTATCCATATGCATTAGAAAGCAAAGTACCAATGTCAAATAGAAAATGTCAAATTGCAGTGCTGATGCCAGCTGCTGAAATGTCTGAACCCCCTTTGTGAATATCGGATGTGCCTTTGAAAAATAAGTAATAGTTCTCTCTCACTCAAATTACAAGTTTTGCATATATCAAGCTGAATATCTAGTTATGGCCTTTGGCCGTCGTATGTAAAAAAGGTATTCAACAAAAGCGCGGTATTCCAGCTGATGGTGACACTATCCAGGGACCTGTTGAGCTTTGCCCGAAGGAAACGTGTGATTATACGGAAATAGTATGATAATAAATTGTGGCAGATAAAATATTTAGGTTGTCCACATAACGTCCCTTTCAAAGATCCTGGATAAATCAAATAACACTAATCATGTGCTGTAATCAGGAGGCATCTGAAGGAAAACATATATTATTATTGATCATTATTGTGAATTTTATGGATTTCCCTCCAAGTCCCTTTGAGTCCGTTATATCCGTAAAAGTAAATAAGTTGTGTTTCAAATCTAAATTCGATTTGACAGTAAAATATGGTTGAGGCAGCATTAATATCAAATCGATGCTTACTGCCTGTTATAACCCTAGTCTCTCTCACACACCCGAGTCATCCGCGTTATTAAGTTGTTGCAATGGTCCAGAAAATATGTGAAGGTTTATATATATTCTAAATATGTTTCATGTTACTGTGTTCTTGTTTTTTTTAGCACAATTATGGCTGATAAACAACTTTGGATAAAAATTAAATGTAGATGGCGTTTGTTGTATTGATCTATACGCAAACATTTGCTATAATTGAGGATTATGTTTGTTATTCAACGCCGCGCTCTGCAATATTGCAGCTATATGGCTACGTTCTGTAAATAATCGAGCCGGGCCATCCAGTGATTGATACCATTAGTGTCGCCTTTTTCAACAGCCATTGTCGCCTTATAATTGAAGAACATAGCAGTGTTTAGACCTGCCAGAATCATATGACCGTTGGTTCGAGTCCCTATCTTTGTTGGTGCTGGTGGGTTTAACCAATGTGGTAAACGTCTTATGTAGATACACAACCACTCTCAACATTAAATGACTTTAGTCTAACCTAGGTATGTAGGGCCTGAACTAACATGTTTATGGTATTAAGTGCAATTTGTATTGAAACAGCGCCAGTGTGGTTGGCGACCGTTGTTTATGTTTAGCGGCAGACTGCCTAGGTAGTGGGAGAGTTACCTCCCTTGGCTTGTGTCGTCTTCTCCTCACATGTTGTTTGACCATTACTGAGAAGTAAAGCTACAAGTATATTGGAATACCTGTGTTGGGTTGTGAATTGCGAGGGTCCAAGCTGGCGTGGTGGCAGCGGAGACGATCATCCGCATCTCTGAACACGGCACTTAACCTGACTTTCGCAGTTACTACACGAATAAGTGTGCAATCTACCTGGTCGACATCGCCACGATAGCGCGGGTATTTCAAGTAGGCCTACTAGCATAACATCATGGCAAACACTCACAGAGCACCGAAACAGTGGTCTCTCACGAAACATGAAACTGTTAATTCGTTTGAGAATTGGAAACAAAACCTACTATATACGTTATCACTGGACACGAATTTTGCAACATTTCTTGCTGACGGCGCCACGTGGGGAAAACGTACACGTGCAACCCCGTTACGAGGATTTGAAAATGATGGGGAAGACGTTGCTGGAGCTCAACGCAAGACGGCAGCGCAAAAGGTAACATCACTCGAGTTAATGTTGGGCCAAATCGCCAATTATTGTCCTGTAATTGCCAGGAACACCATTGTGAAAAGTTCAGTATCGATTTCAAGTATCTGGCAGACTATCAGACTACACTACGGCTTCCAGTCATCTGGTGCACATTTTCTTGATTTGTGTGACATACATCTCCAACCTGAGGAGCGACCAGAGGATCTTTACCAGCGCCTGTCTGCATTTATGGAAGATAATCTGCTCAGACAAAATGGCGGAATCACTCATCATGGAGAGGCGATTGGCGAGGATGAGGAATTAACACCTACGTTAGAGAACATTATTATCCTGACTTGGTTGCGCCTTATCCATCCTGATTTGCCCAAGCTTGTGAAGCAACGATATGGAACGGAACTGAGATCCCGTACTCTAGCGTCAATTAAACCTGAGATATCACAGGCACTCAATTCCCTGTTAGATGAAATACATTCATCTGAGGATGCCAAGGTCATGAGGACTGCTACCACTAGAGCAAACAACTTCAGTCAAAGATCTAATTTTAGACCTCGCATACAGCAGACATCCAATAAACGTCGTTACCAGTCAACCTCAAAAATGTGTCCCCTCTGTCACACAGCTGGTCGTCCTAATGACAATCACTTTCTCAGTGAATGTTCATACTTACCTGATCAAGACAGAAAATACATGGCTAAGGCACGTCAAATAGCTAGCATCCTGGATGAGTCAGAGGATGAAGATGGACAGTCCCCTCATACAGACACAGTATCTACACCTCCCGTTACTGCCTCAAGTGTAAACAATGCTTCAGTCAATAGAGTCAGTGTACGTCAGTCTCCATATATGAACGCATTTTATGGTCATAATGTCATATGTCTTACCCTCGACAGTGGAGCTACAGGTAATATGATCAGTCAGACTACTGCCAGGAGACTCGGCATTGAAGTCACCAAAAGTTCACAATCTGCCCATCAGGCTGATGGTTCATCCCCACTCCATATTGTTGGTGAAACACGAGTAACTCTCAGCCGTGACAATAAGGATTTTATTTTCGAGGGCCTTGTTGTGGAGAACCTTGATGTCGAGTTGCTTGCAGGAACACCGTTCATGGAAATAAATGATGTTGCCGTTCGCCCAGCTAAGCGCCAAATTACACTTGGAGATGGAACCACCTTCCAGTACGGCAACCAAGAAACCCACTCGTCACACCATACAGTAAGACGTGCACATGTCTTACGAGCGCCTAAGTCCCCTACAACAATCTGGCCTGGCGATTTCATAGAGTTATCACTCCCGGATGACCTGATCCACTCAGATGACACATTCGCAGTGGAACCACGTCTAACAGGTGATTTATTCAAAGACCACAAAGAATGGCCAACACCAGATATAGTGTCCAGCGTTTCAGGGAAGATTAGAATTCCTAATGACACCAAAGAGCCTCTTGTCCTCAAGAAGCATGAGCACTTTTGCCAGGTTCAACAAGTATTCACCATCCCAAACTCTGGGACCGAGATGGTCGATAGTCAATCAGAAAGCATTCCTCTCAGACAGTCCACTACTACATGCAAGGTCAATTGTTCAGAACAGGTACGCATTGACCCAGATAACCAGTTCACACCAGACACTCGCAACAGTTTCCACGCCCTCATAAAGGAGTACGATGATGTGTTTAATCCACATGTCCATGGATATAATGGAAAATCTGGCCCGTTCAAGGCAGTTGTCAACATGGGTCCTGTCCAACCCCCTCAACGCAAGGGACGAGTCCCACAATACTCACGTGACAAACTTGTAGAGTTGCAAGACAAATTCGATGAGCTTGAGGACATTGGTGTCTTCGTCAAGCCTGAAGATGTGGGGATATCAGTGGAATATTTAAATCCATCCTTCCTTGTCAAGAAGTCAAATGGTGGATTTCGTCTGGTTACAGCATTCACAGATGTGGGGCGGTATAGTAAACCACAACCATCACTCATGCCTGATGTTGATTCTACATTACGCCAGATAGCTGCATGGAAGTACATCATAACCACAGATTTGACAAATGCTTTTTACCAAATACCCCTGTCACGTGGATCAATGAAATATTGTGGTGTGGCCACTCCCTTCCGTGGAGTCCGTGTTTATGCCCGATCAGCCATGGGCATGCCGGGCTCTGAAACTGCGTTAGAAGAATTGATGTGTCGTGTGCTTGGGCACTTGCTCAAGGAAGGATCAGTGGCCAAGTTGGCAGATGACTTATATTGTGGAGGTAATACCGTAGACGAGCTTCTGAACAACTGGCGACGTGTTCTACAGGCCTTGCAATTCAATGGATTAAAGCTTTCAGCTGCCAAGACTACTGTCGGCCCTTCTAGTGTGACCATCTTAGGATGGATTTGGAAAAATGGCTCAATTCAAGCAAGTCCTCACAGAATTTCCACCCTCTCTAGTTGCACCCGTCCATCTACGGTCAAGGGTTTGAGGTCGTTTATTGGAGCCTACAAAGTGTTAGCCCGGGTAATACCAGGTTGTGCTGGACTATTGGGTCCATTGGACACTCTTCAAGCTGGACGTCCTTCAGCAGAGAGAATAGTTTGGTCAGAGGTACTTATCTGTGCCTTTGGAAATGCTCAATCTGCACTATCCTCACATAAAACCATTGTTCTTCCTCGAAAGGATGACCAGCTATGGATCGTTACAGATGGAGCAGTGAAAAACCATGGCATAGGTGCTACTCTCTACATTACAAGGAACAACAGTACTCTCCTCGCTGGTTTCTTCAGTGCCAAACTGCGCCAGCGTCAAATGACATGGCTACCGTGTGAAATAGAAGCACTATCTATAGCTGTTGCCACCAAGCACTTTAGTCCTTACCTTGTACAGTCAAGCCTACAAGCATGTATCCTGACTGACAGTAAACCATGTGTTCAAGCATATGAAAAGTTGTGTCGTGGAGAGTTTTCAGCAAGCCCCAGAGTGTCTACCTTTTTGTCGACAGTGAGTAGATACCAGGCCTCTGTTCGCCATCTCAGTGGTTCTGCAAATATTCCATCTGATTTTGCCAGTAGAAATGCATCCAAGTGTGACGAGCCCCTGTGTCAGATTTGCTCATTCATTCGTCAAACTGAGGACTGTACGGTACGTGGTACTTCTGTTCAGGACATCATGTCAGGGAAATCTAAACTGCCATACACCAACAGGAATGCATGGCTCGCCATCCAGTCAGAGTGTTCTGATCTCAGACGCACACATGCTCATCTCATACAGGGCACTCGCCCATCCAAGAAACAAACTGATGTTAAAGACATAAAACGTTATCTACAGTCTGTGACCATCTCCAAAGATGGTGTGTTGGTGATTCAAAGAAATGAGCCCCTTGTTACCATCAGAGAGTGCATCGTCATTCCACGACAAGTCTTGGATGGATTACTGACTGCAATGCACATCCAGTTAAATCATCCTTCTGCCCACCAGTTGAAACTCGTTGTGAACCGCTACTTCTATGCTTTGGACATGGATCAAGCAATAACTAAAGTTTCAAGCGGATGTTATCACTGTACATCTCTTCAACAGGTTCCCCACACAGTTGTGGCTCAGTCATCTACTGATCCCCCAGAGATCATTGGAGCCGCGTTTGCCGCA